ATCATCGGATACATTATAACCGCATCTCCACATTCATCAAAAGGAAATCGATTTTATCTGTTTTCAATCTAAGACTGTGTTGCTGTTTTTTCTTGTTAAAAGGGGTGCTCAACAATATTCAAGCTATGTGACGGCGGTTTCTAAATAATTAAGTCTGGCCTGACAAACCCGTGATTGATATTATGAGAATCGTCCCACGCAATCGTACTTAGTCGCCAATCTATTTAGAAACCTTTTACTACCAGCACAGATTGCTGGGAGCCTTTCTTACCCGGAATCCCCAAGGAATCTGTCGGTGCCGAAGGAGAGGGAAGTAACCATTACAGGTTCAGGTCCGGGTGCGCTGCGCGAAATGACGTGAATGATATCAATATTAATGTCATCTGGTACAAATAGTTCATCACAATTAATCATCAATACGCTGTAAATAAACTGCTTTGTCAAAGTAAACCGTTGTTTCATCGGTTGATGACGTCTTGATTGACACCCTACCTTTATGTGTGATAAGCGCTTGGATTTTAAGAAGAAAACATTATAGTTGCATCGTCATCATGAATTTCATCGGAAAATATTCACTTCATTATACAGTGAAACACCATTAATACAGACGGTATTGTCTGGATTAACCAATTTCCGGATTAACGAATCATTGGTATGGTAAATATCACTTTGTATACACGTAACCGTTCCGGAGAGTAATCGGCTGTATTAACGGGGTCCGTACTAACGAGGTTACACTGTATGTCGATATAAGAAAGGGTTACTTTAACGTTTAGTAGCAGAAAACTAACCAAATACATTATCAAAACTATGACACTCTAAAGTATTGGCACATCGTTGGTCCATTATCAAATTAAAAAATGTCGATTGATGAGGATGATTGTTATTTTATCTTGACAGGGACTACTTTCTTCCTAATCGCTAACTACAGACCGTGAGGTGGTCACGTTTTTCAAGATACACTACCAGTCCAGAAGCGTTGCCTATATCCTGTAATTAACGTAATTAGATCCCCGAGGTAGTGATCGTGTAAAGCCTTTGAGCACCACGTGGGTGTTTAAAGGACATGGAGTCAAATAACATTCTCTCTAAACAGAATGTCACGGATCTGTAGAATATGAACTCTTCCCTACAAGAGGGATCAGGATTGTACTCTCACAGAGACATCAGTCAACGTTACAATCACGTTAGCCTTTTACAGAGATTCTTGTTCTATTTCCATTTTATCTATTTAACGGCTATTTTGCCTTTTACACGCAATGAAATTTGTTTCGTCAGATGATCGAGACTGATTATTCTCTAACGGTGACGTTTCATATTTTAGAACCAAAAAATGTTATTGTCATATTTACATTTAAATTTTTTGGTAAGGAAACAAATATTGTTGTACAAATGAACGCATAAGCTTTTCAAAGTAAACTTGTAAACAATTATATTCTGGAAAAATATATCTGTCGTATGATTAACAGGATGTCAGCATAAACCACGCTGCCGCTAAACAAAGATCTGAGGACATCTCATTACGGGTCACGTCAGAACGACCTTTCATCCGACCAATCAAAGCGTCGCTTACCAGATCATGAAAGTGACAGTCGGAATGGGTTTTCTAATCATGCAACCTCGAAAACGTTAACAGGGTGTATTCCGAACGACAGTTACGGCCCGTACGACTGATTCCGTCAAAATTATCGTCTATCTTTCGCTTCCGTGGGATGAACATTTGAACGGAGGAGGCGTTGCACAGTACGTGGGAAGCACTGCCATACAATCTCATCCATATATTAGACATTCTGGAATGTTCGTTTGTTCAGTTTTTAAAATTTTAATCGAAAACTGTTTCAACATATTTTTCAAGCGTAGTCTGAAATGGAAGTCGCCAGGTTGAAATTTGTGGTTGGGTATGTGATACTAAGGGGTGGGACTTCCGTGCCAGCCAGAATGTCACTGTTATTGTCCATGGAAGGATCACTGGACAGTACCACCGACACAACATGGATGTGCATTTGCTGGTCCACGTTTTGTCTTCCAAAATATAAACGCTTGTGCCAACCTTTCGCGTATCGTAACTCAACACCACCAGCAGCAAAACAGCACCAGAATGCAATGGCCAGCCTTGACTCCCCGCCACCTCATACGGAACACGTCTGGGACATGAGTGAGTGAATGAGTTGGGTTTAGCGCCGCTTTTAACAGTTTTTCCAGTTACATCGCGGCGTGTCAGCTTAATGTGGGAGGAAAGCCCGAAGTGATGCAGATATCAGCCGTTTACCACATCGGTGAAACCCACGAGCACAGGTATGGTCCTGACAAACCTAGAAACATACTCGGGGCGAACCGGGATTCGAACCCACATTCATAGGTTTCTGGCGTGCCCAAGGGACGCAACTCTGCACAGCGAATCGCAGCGCCTTAGACGACTGGGCCACCCGTGCCCCCTCTGGGACATGGGGAGGTGCGCACACCAATTCACAGACCACCCGCTACGTTAGCCGAACTGGGCCAGGCCCTGCAAGAGGAATGGACAAAACTTACTCAAATTGTCGTTGGGAAATTGATTAAATCATGCCACGCCGAATAAACGAATGTTTAACCAATTTGGGGGCATGGCCCATCTTTGATCAAGTTATCTGAAACGTTGATTGTTTCACGACAAAACCCATGTTATCTTTCGTGGTTGTTAGCACCTATTCTTGGTTGTTAGCACCTATTCTTGGTTGTTAGCACCTATTCTTGGTTGTAAGCACCTATTCTTGGTTGTTAGCACCTATTCTTGGTTGTTAGCACCTATTCTTGGTTGTAAGCACCTATTCTTGGTTGTTAGCACCTATTCTTGGTTGTTAGCACCTATTCTTGGTTGTAAGCACCTATTCTTGGTTGTTAGCACCTATTCTTGGTTGTTAGCACCTATTCTTGGTTGTTAGCACCTATTCTTGGTTGTAAGCACCTATTCTTGGTTGTAAGCACCTATTCTTGGTTGTAAGCACCTATTCTTGGTTGTTAGCACCTATTCTTGGTTGTTAGCACCTATTCTTGGTTGTAAGCACCTATTTTTGGTTGTTAGCACCTACTCTTGGTTGTTAGCAACTATTCTTGGTTGTAAGCACCTATTTTTGGTTGTTAGCACCTATTCTTGGTTGTAAGCACCTATTCTTGGTTGTAAGCACCTATTTTTGGTTGTTAGCACCTACTCTTGGTTGTTAGCACCTATTCTTGGTTGTAAGCACCTATTTTTGGTTGTTAGCACCTACTCTTGGTTGTTAGCACCTATTCTTGGTTGTAAGCACCTATTTTTGGTTGTTAGCACCTACTCTTGGTTGTTGAATCGCCAACATTCTGCTGATTGTCACGTTACACCTACCTTTTCTTATCCATACCCACCACCACTCGATACCTCCATATATTCTGTTATCATCTGTTATTTTCGAATATCCCCAACTTTTTGGGACAGTATGTTTACAAACATATAAGATTTTTAAAAGAAAGTCTTTTTGGCAAGGACACAAAAGAGTCACTACTTGGTCTCCCCTGAACAGCATGAACTAGTATGTTAGTGGCTACACTGTGTAGGCTGTATATACTCACGAGTACTCTAAAGCACACATGTTGTAATGTCAAGTAATTCCTTCTCCCTTATGATGGTAACCATATTTTATTTTATTACTGGTTTTTTTAATGCTTTTGTTGCTGTTGCATAATGAATATAGCTTCCCAAGGGGCCCGACTTATTGTTTGAAACAATATCGTGAATCAGTCGTTTCCCCAATACGCCCTTAGTGACTCAACCTGCGACAGTCTGACCCTGCGCACTGACCTGCTCTTAAAACAATAAGCTCCTCGTGACGTTTTACGGAAGCTGTTTAGAAGGAACGAATTCCTAAAAGACTTCCTAAAACAAAGGCTAAAAGTTATTGCAGGGCTACCTTTGGTGAGACGCGAGGATTCATAAATGGTTAAAACCTGGCCGAAATATGGTTTAGTTTGTTCATCCTACATCAGTTACCTCCCTTGGAGTTAGTTATACTGCACTGGAGATAGTTTTTCTGTAGCGGGGAGAGTATTTAGAATGTGGATGTGTCCCATCTGTCTGCGATTGGGTGAACAGCTTCGTGTTTTGGCGGGAAAGGTCAACACCCATATTGGTGCCAAGTTACAATTTCTGTTTTGCGGTGAGCAGGGCGTACAAACCACACGTGATTTTCGTACATAGTCGAAATATATAAATATATTTGCGTGAGTTATCGCTAAAATTAGTATATCAATTTATTATCCATAATGTTCAAAACATAATATAAAATTCCAACTATTACGTGTAAGAAGGATTTCACACGCCCTATGGCGCTGTTTACCAAGTCTGTTTATAAGACAATATAACTTGCTCAAGCCCATGAAGCTGGTTCCTGGCTGGAAGTGTTGACGCGATGCACAGTGATGCAATACTTGCAATGCGTCAAACATATCAGTGTTGCGTCATGGTGACGCTGTATTTTTCTGTTTCTGTCATGTAGAGTTCAAAGACAATTAAACCTGCTTCTAATAGTGCTTCTAGTACCACTATTACTACCACTACGACGACGAATATTTCTGCTGCTACTACTACTACTACTACTACTACTACTACTACTACTACTACTACTACTACTACCAATACCACTATTTTTGCTACTTCAACCACTATTACTACTACTACCACGACGAACATTATTGCTGCTACTACTACCACTATTTCTACTGCTACCACTATTACTACTACTACTACTACTACTACTACTAATACTAATACTAATACTAATACTAATACTACTACCAATAATGCTACTGCTACTATTACGAGGAAGGGGATAGGGAGGCGAGGGGGAGGGAGTATGTGGAGAGGGGGAGGGGGATTGTGTACCAAGTTAGTAGTAGTAGTCAGACATTTCTTGTAACATTTGTATTTAAACTGTAATAGAACGTCAACACAATCCGTTTTAGTAACCTCCATTTACACGTCCTGATTACAGCTTCACATGGGACACACCAGTGCAGGAGATCCTCGGTGCGGCCATCAACTTTGGCGACCGCTACCGCAACGACTACCTCAGCCTGAGAGACATCGTCTCCATGAGGACCGGCCTCAGCAACATGGACGCCGTGGTCCTCACCAACGCCATGGAACGAAGCCGTCTCATCTCGTGAGTACAACTTACCTCCCCTGCCCGGTGCTTTGTTTATTATATTTTTTAATTTTTATATATTTGCAAAGTTGTTAGTCTTGAACTGCGGAATACTGTTTAATAATTACCTTCATAATTATAAATTAAATATTCGAAAACAATGTTGAAAGAGAGGAATGTATTGTGTGAAGAAAGATGAGAGAATGTATTTTGTAATAAATAAATAAATAAAAAAATAAATAAAAAAATAAATAAATAAATAAATAAATAAATAAATAAATAAATAAATAAATAAATAAAATTAATTTGAAATCAAATAATAAGAAAAACATTTATTGTCTATACGGTTGGTCTACGTCACCACAAGCAGGTTCCCAGCCATATAATTGCGACCTACAAATTTTGGCATGAGCACCAAGTACGATGACACGCAATCAGCCTGACAGAGCCTTGCCACTTTATTCACAGTTTGTTTTCCAAAACCACCAACAACTTTATTCACAGTTTAATCGGCTCTAAGAAAATCAGGGGTACCGGGGACCTGTTCCGAATCACTGAGAACTAGACACAATGGTTGTAGACTGTGGTAAGACATTTTCTCGAAACCGCCTTGCTAAGTCAACTTTAACCTGACTCACTCACTGGTTATCGGGCTGTGATGGTTTGGATTGACGCTCATGCTATCGCCCACTAGGGATCCCAAGTGTCACATCAGAACATACTCTTTAGCGTTACGCAGTACTACAAGACCACACAGCTTGTGCTCGAGGGTATAAGGCAAATGGCCATACCCAATATAATACTGATTAATTAAATAATATATATTTGAATACTGAAAACGAATTTTGGCTAATCCCTAAATAATTATCTAGTTGGTTCACTGCATTGATAAAAAACAACATGATTTTGCTTATCACTGCATTGACATAAAGAACATAATTGCGCTTACCCTTGGGGTAATGTTGAACAATACTTCCTTTACAATCTGGTCACTTAATTCTTTCTACAAATATGAGTGAGTATGGTTTTACGCCGCTTGTAGTATTTTCCAGTTAATGACCAGTGGCGTTCAGCCGTCCTCAACACATCTTGCTAATTCAAAGGCATATGATTATTTGTAGCGTCTACAGTTACCCTTTCAGTATCATCATTCAAGGATGTCACTTGCACTTGCTTCTGTAGATGACGTATTTGCATGTCATGCAAATGTATGGATCATTGATTTCATTGGTTGAATTTCAACCAATCAAAATTCCTAAAGCAGGAAAGCGTACCCGGAAGAACACGTTTATCGTATTACTATAGTGCTGTATATATAGACGGTAATACATCTCGTGCAGCGACCTCTTTCCCTGGTGGACAAGCTTGTTTCTAACGAGTAATAAGTCATAAGATATGTTCTATCTGTACAACAGGGTACGAGAGGCACAGCAATCGTTGTGCAATGTTTGACGTGGCAGGAAGCTATTATCACAGAGACAATATACCGATATGGTCTCTGATCCCCATTATGTTTCTAGGTTTGTCGCCGCCATACCCACGGTCATCAAAATGATAAACGTCTGAGACCTGCATCACTTCAGGCTTTCCTCCACATAAAGCAGACACGCCATGATATACTTAACTGAAATACAGTTTAGACCAAACTCCCTCGACTCGTGAAGATCCGGGGTAGAATAGGTGTTCATCAACCCATGCTTGCCTTAAAAGGCGACTATGCTTGTCGGGATCGGGTGGTCAGGCTCGCTGACTTGGTTGATGCATGTCATCGATCCCAATAGCGATGCTCATGATATTAATCACTGGAGTGCCTGGTCCAGGCTCGATTATGTACAGACCGCAGTCATATAGCTGAAATATTGCTGAGTGCGGCGTAAAACATCAAACTAACCAACCACCCAAACTCCCTCAATCCATTATATTTTATTAAGTATTCGTTATGTTATTACCAAAACCTGGTTATGAACTGAAGTGAGAGAATGTTGTTTAACGCCCTACATATTTCATATATTGCCGGTGCCTGTTAATAATTGAGTCTTAGCCAAGCAAACCAGAGTCTGAAAGCATGGACAATGGACCGTGGACAGGTATATGGAGGACGTATTTAAATTCTAGAAAATTCAACCTATCCAACAGACAGAGCCTATTTTGTGTCTGCACACCTACGGCCAAAATAACCAATCAGCTTCTCAACACCTTGTACTATGTTGTACTGACTGATTGTATTGATTTATTTACCGGAAGAGTGCCTCTGTTGTTGGACATGTACACAAACCACACCACATGCTGCTGTTGCAGGTGATACTTCAATTATGTGTGCTGAGAACAAGATATAATCTGTTTACCTCCCTGTTTGTTGATCAAGTACAAAACAGCTTGTACCTGTAAAGATCCGGGTTAGAATTGGTCTTCAGTAAAATCATGCTTGTCGTAAGGGGAGACTAACGGGTGGTCAGGCTCCTGTAAAGGTGCACCCAACGTTTTCTTTGGTGGTTGACCCGTGAAGCTCCGGGGTAGAACAGGTCTTCAGCACCCCATGAGTGCCGTAAAGGCGACTATGCCTGTAGTAAGAGGCAACAAACGGGATCGGGTGGTCAGGTTTGCTGACTTGGTTGATGCATATTATCGTATCCCAGTTGTATAGATCGATGCTCACGGTATCAATCACTGGATTGTCTTGTTCATACTCGATTATTAACAGGCCGCTGGAATAGCTGGAATATTGCTGGGTACGGCGTTAAACAACAAACAAACAAACAAACACAAACAAACAAGTCGTCACGACATCTACAAACCAGCCAACACGTCGGCTTAAAAAAAGTCCTGTTCCCTGCTTTTTCTTTTTGTACTACAACGGACACGGGTGGCTCAGTCGTCTAAGACGACGCTATTTCATGCGGGGTTGCTTCCCTTGAGCACACCAGGCTCCTATGATCGTAGGTTCCAGGTTTGAACGATTATGTGTCTAGGTTTGTCAACACCATACCCGTGCTCGTAGGTTTCACCGGAGTGGTAATCGTCTGAGACCTGCTTCACTTCGGGCTTTCCTCCCACATAAAGCTGACACGCCGTGATATAACTGGAATACTGTTCAAAGCGGCGTTAAACCCAACTCACTCACTCACTCATACCATGATCTGCTAGATTGCAATAACTGTTTTATAATTCAGCCGTCCTCAAAACATGCATTTGTCAATTGTGCCATCTTGATAGTTCAAAGGCATATAGTAGCCTAGTGGTTAAAGCGTTCGCTCGTCACGTTGAAGACCCGGGTTCGATTCCCGACATGGGTACAATGTGTGAAGCCCATTTCTGGTGTCCCCCGCCGTGATATTGCTGGAATATTGCTAAAAGCGGCGTAATACCATACTCACTCACTCAAAGGCATATAACGTTGTGTCATTCTCATTCATTCACTCACATCATCCCTGTCATCACTATTTTACTTCCAGCAATCTGAGGTTCGCCCCCAAGGTGGCCACGTTCCGGGAAAAGTACGTCTACAACAACCTGCTGTTCGCTGTGGCCGAAGAGGTGACCCGCAGCCTGGGACAGGACACGTGGTACAAGCTGGTGCAGGATCACCTACTTGCCCCGCTCAGCATGACGGACACGTTCTTCATCACCAGTGATGCCAAGAAGCAGGAGAACCTGGCACAGCCAGTCATGAGCTACAACGGAGTCCCTATGCCTATCCCAATGGGAGCTATGAAGTGAGTAGAGACACGTTATCACCTTGCTTTGGGTTGTACACTACTAATCAAAACTAAGGTTCCCTTGAATCCGATCAGGCTGAGGTAGGTGATCGCCATTCCATCGGGATCCGATCGGGATTCCCCGCGACGCGATCCTGACGTTCAATCCAACACGGGTCGCTCTAGGGACGCGACAGGATACTTTCATCGCTTTGAGATCGCTAAATGATACCGATATCATCTCGATAGGAACCCGACAGAACGGAGAACATAACACGACTCGATCCCGACCCGATCACGTTGAGAAAGACGTTCGCGACAATATACCTAGAGGATCGTGTTAAGATCCCGACAAGATCGCGACAACATACCTATAAGGATCGCATTAAGATCCCGACGAGATCGCGACTACATACCTCTAAGGATCGCGTTATGATGAATACAGGATTGCGTCAACATACCTCTAAGGATCGCGTTATGATGAAAACAGGATCGCGACAACATACCTATAAGGATCGCGTTATGATGAATACAGGATCGCGACAACATACCTATAAGTATTGCGTTATGATGAAAACAGGATCGCGACAACATACCTATAAGGATCGCGTTATGATGAATATAGGATCGTGACAACACATCTCTTAGGATCGCATTATGATGAATACAGGATCGCGACAACATACCTCTAAGGATCGCGTTATGATGAATACAGGATGGCGACAACATACCTAAAAGGATCGCGTTATGATGAATACAGGATCGCGACAATATACCTATAAGGATCGCGTTATGATGAATACAGGATCGCGTCAATATACCTGTAAGGATCGCGTTATGATGAATACAGAATCGCGACACCGTACCTATAAGGATTGCGTTATAATGAATACAGGATCGCGTCAACATACCTGTAAAGATCGCGTTATGATGAATACAGGATCGCGACAACATGCCTAAAAGGATCGCGTTATGATGAATACAGGATGGCGACAACATACCTAAAAGGATCGCGTTATGATGAATACAGGATCGCGACTACATACCTCTAAGGATCGCGTTATGATGAATACAGGATCGCGACAACATATCTCTAAGGATCGCGGTATGATGAATACAGGATCGCGACAATATACCTATAAGGATCGCGTTATGATGAATACAGGATCGCGACAACATATCTCTAAGGACCGCGTTATGATGAATACAGGATCGCGACACCATACCTCTAAGGATCGCGACAATATACCTATAAGGATCGCGTTATGATGAATACTGGATCGCGACACCATACCTATAAGGATCGCGTTATAATGAATACAGGATCGCGTCAACATACCTATAAAGATCGCGTTATGATGAATACAAGATCGCGACAACATATCTCTAAGGATAGCGTTATGATGAATACAGGATCGCGACAACATACCTATAAGGATCGTGTATGATGAATACAGGATCGCAACACCATACCTATAAGGACCGCGTTATGATGAATACAGGACCGTGAAGGAATCACGACAGTATATCATCAGGTACAATGTATCGATCGCCTTCGGATCCCGATCTGGTCGCAAACGTTTCGCAATCGAAGGGATTTAGTTTTGCAGCGTAGTGTAACACAGATGAACAGTGTGACAAAAATATCCCCATGGTATCCATGGACACATGCGTGCATAGAGAGCTGATTCCCAATGATAAGAAAACACGTGTTTACTGATAGAACAGTTGCAGTTTTGCGTATTCCCTTGAATAATACACGGAAGAGTGTCACATGTGTGATGTGTTGTGATAACTGTTATAATAACAGTGACATACAACTTACTGGTTTTCGTGGCGAATAGCTGCAACACTGCTGATACGAATCTGTTTGTTGGTAATGGAGAATTTGTTTGTTTGTTTGTTGTTTAACGTCGCACCCAGCAATATTCCAGCTATGTGACGGCAGTCTGGAAATAATCGAGTCCGGGCCAGACAATCCAGTGACTGAGCATGAGCATCAATCTACGCATTTGGGATACGATGGCATGAATCAACCAAGTTATCAAGCCGACCACCCGATCCCGTTAGTCTGTGCAACCAGAATGTGTGGTTGTCAGAATACACTACTCAGAATACACTACTCAGAATACTGCTACAACTGGCCCCACTTGTACAAAGCGATCTTAGTGCTGTAGCTATTGTCAGTCTGTGTGAAAAACACGTATTACAATAGTCTTAGCACGGAGATCAATTTGTTCAATTGGGGACGCCTTCGTGGTCTAGTGGTAGAGCGTCCGCCCGGAGAGCGGTTCGAACTCCGGCCGCGTCATACCAAAAGCAGTAAATAATAGTACTTGTTGTAAGCCTGCCTGGCGCTCGGTATTAAGGGGCTAAAACAGGGACTGGTCGGCTCGGAGTCGGAGTCGGAGTATACTGTGTCTGAGTGGGGTATTCATGTGGGGCATGTTATCTCAGTGTGCTAGCACCATAAACTCGACAGCAGCCACACACACACACACACACACACACACACACACACACACACACACACACACACACACACACACACACACACACACACACACACACAAAAATAAAAAAAACAACACACACACACACGCTTCATGAGTGCAATAATCTTGATCGCGACGTTAAGCACCATGACGCCTACCATTACCTCACCTCACCCCACCTCACCCCACCTCACCTCACCTCACCTCACCTCACCTTGTGCAGTTGGTCCCTGGTCACAAGTCAGACTATTGTTTTCCGCATTTCCACCAAGATATAGATTAAGATATGTAGGTGGACGCCACTAAGTGTTTTTAATATAATTCTTTTCAAACAGAGGTCAAGAAATCATAGCCGCAGGATCCTCCATCTGTTCGACCGCAGACGACATGGGCAAATGGCTTCGGTTCAACCTGAACAAGGGTGGGACCCAAGATGGCGGCCAGCTTCTTCCCAGAGAAGCCCTGGCCGAGTTGTTCCAGGGGCAGACTACACGATCTGATGAAGGGAACGCCAGGGTGGAGGGCTTCAGCCAGCCAGACGTTCAAGTGTCCTACACAAGGGAGGCCAACACCCTGGGCTGGATCAAAGGACACTATCGGGGTAAGTGAGGGGGTATGGTTTAACGCCGCGTTTTGCTATATTCCAGCAACATCAACAGGGGACACCACGAATGGGCTTCAAGCATTGTACCAATGTATGGAATCGTACCCGGGCCTTCGGCGTGACAAAGGAACCTTTTAACCATTTGGTAGACCCACTGCCTAAAGTAACGATCGTTCCGCTCTGATATAATCAAAATCTGTCCCAAAGATATAAACATACAAAATTAATAGTATACACTTACTTTTTAATGACATGAATCACATTGTGACGATCCGGGTTAGAATAGGTCTTCCAAAGTCCGGCATACCTTACGGATTCAAGTACCATTTTCTATTTTTTCCCGTAAAAGGCGACTATGCTTGTCGTAAGAGGCGACTAACGGGATCGGGTGGTCAGGCTCGTTGACTTGGTTGATGCATCTCATCGTATCCCAACTGCGCGGATCGATGCTCAAGATGTCAATCACTGGATTGTTTGGTAGAGACTCGATTATTTACAGACCGCCGTCATGTACCTGGACTATTACTGAATGCGGCGTTGAACAATAAACAAACAAGCATTGTCTTTTGCAGGCTACTCTGTACTCTCCCAAGACGGGTCCCTCCCCGGGTACGAAAGTCTTACTAGCTTCATCCCCGACCGTGACGTGGGCATCTTCACAGCCTTCACGGGAGACAACGGCCCCAAAGCCTTTGCCGCTAAGACACTGATGAACACCTATGGTTTGGACATGCTGATACACGGCCAGCCAGCCTTCCACCTCAAAGACTTCTGCCAGACCCTTGATGCCATGTTCACCATTGTCGTAAAGAACGACCCGTACGTGAACCGAGACATCAAACAAGCCTCCGAATCGAAACGTCCTCTGGAAGACTACCAAGCATTCTATCGGAACCTGGCCTTCGGGGATATCCGGGTCTGGGTGAACGAATCATCCCTGTATCTGAAGTACGGTGAGATGGGAGAGTTCAACCTCCGTCCAACGGAACAAGAGAATGTTTTTAGGATGGAGGCAATGCCCGGAGAGCTTTGGTATACCACCCACGTTGATATTCTTCGAAGGAAGCCTTACTATGCTTACTTTGACACAACTCCTTACAGCGATGACCATATCGAGGTGGTAAAGATCCCTCACTTTGACAGGGACACTGATCCGGTGTTTAGTCGGCGGATACGAATCCCACCTCCATACGACGAGGTGCAAGAAGTTTGTGGGTCGGGCAGCAAGGTCGCTGTATCTTGGACCATTGTTGTTTTAATGATGGCGATGGTGCTGCGGTGATGAAATTCGACCGAGTTGCACTCAGCAAATCTTAAACTCTAACAGATTCCATATCGGTAAAATGAAGTTAACTGTATGTAACATTTTATTTGGATTTGTTTTATTTCTAATTATTTTTCCTAAATATCATCAAAAGACTGACTTTATCATTTGGAAACTACTATATAAAATCGTTGTCTTTGATAATAAGACACCAGAAGTTTATATTTTCAGGAAAACATCCCAGTCATTGAGGATGGCATCCAGCTGATTTTTAAAAAAAAGATTTGCTTTTGCAGTTTATTTTGTATATTTTGCATGTTATTGTAAACTGTTTTTGAGTTGTGTGTCCCTTAAGAATATGCTTCCAGTGTTTTCAAAACTAATTCACATCATATAAATTATTACATTACGACTATAGGTGTCACGTGACATTGCTCCCGAGTTATGATTGGATATGTCCATGACCTAATTGGTGATGCAGTCACGTGGCACACTGTCTATTCCAAATATGGCAAGTGTATATATCAAAGTCTTAAAGACCTATTTGAACATCATCTGGAAGGATATAGATTATTTATTTCAGCGTATTTAAAATTACATTTAGCGAGTTGTGTAATTAGTTCGACATTAGACCAAATGTTACATATCAAATTCGGACTTAATGCTATATAGTCTTTCAATGTACATACAGTTTTCAAATATTTGAGTGTAAAAAAACCTTTTAATCGATTTTCGCATCTTCCGTAAACGAAGGTGAGACCTGTTTGATTGCAATAGGGTAAAATTGTATACATCTATATCATAGTAAACAGTAGGGAAATGTTTCGTTCGGCGATGTAGATAGTATTTGCAACTGACCTGTCGTAATGTATAGTTAAAATTGTTTGAAATAAATACATGTTTGTTGTCAGTTGTTTGTTGATTGGTTTAGGTCACAGACAACTAAACTGAAGTCCAAAAGAAAGTATTTTTGTTTGTTTGTTTGTTGTTTAACGCTGCACTCCAGCTATGTGACGGTTTTTTTAAATAATCGAATCTGGACTAGATATTCCCGTGAGTGACATCACGAGCATCGATCGCCACAGTAGGGTTATAATGACATGCATCAACCAAGCCAGCGAGCCTGACCACCCGATCCCGTTAGTCGCCTCTAACGACAAGCATAGTCACCTTTTACGGCAAGCATGGGTTGCTGAAGACCTATTCTACCCCGGATCTACACGGAGTACAAAGAAAGTACCACCCTGGCTGTGTCTTGAGTTATCAAAAACGTTTTCAGCTCATATCAGATGTGTTTTAACCCGATCTTTTCGGGCTGTTCCTGCCAAATACTACCTCTGTAATTTCAGTACTACAAACGTGAGTTGCAGTCAAAACATATAGAGTGTTAACAGACTTAAACTTAAACAGTAGTTACCAGTTCATCACAACACTCAGTCTGTGGTATGACCTGCATTGGCATTGGTGCAATCCAGTACTACGGAAGCCTTTTAGGGCCATTTGTTATTGGGTTTTTGTTGGGTTTTTTCTTGAAATTTGAAGAAAATAAACAAATGGTCCTAAAAGACTACCGAACAGTACCGTTATCATGGAAAAACTATAGTGCTGCAACCCTGTGAAAGTTTGATCAAGGTTACAACATTCACGGCCATAGTAAAGTTTCCAGAATGGTTTATGGCAGAGATGTCCAAATTTGAAAACATCAGTGACAGAAATGTCCGATGCCGTTCCCGATTTTGACCTGTACCATATGTTCCCGTGTTATTTTCAGTTGAACAATTGACTTGCCTTTGCATGTGTTTGTGACGAGTGCAACCGATGGAGCAGGATACGCTCACCTTTTCGCGCACACCCGATGTTATCCTTAAAGTGATAGTGATTCATAAACACATGCTTATGAAAGAGTTGTACAAATGACTCTGCTTTAGCCAAAAGAGGTTGATGGTTGTGAACATGCTTTTGATACGTACCTGACTGTGAAACCAGTTGCAAACTCATTGCCCTTACACTTATCAGTCTTGTCCTCGCCTCGTGAAAAGCGCACCGCGTTACCTTTCTCGTGGGGGCACGGTTGGCCCAGTCGTCTAAGGCGCCGCGATTCGCTGTGCAGAGTTGCGTCCCTTGGGCACGCCAGAAACCTATGATTGTGGGTTCGTATCCCGGTTCGCCGAGATTATGTTTGTCAGTTTGTTTGTCAGCACCATACCCGTGCTCGTGGGTTTCACCGAAGTGGTAAACGTCTTAGACTTGCATCACTTCGGGCTTTCCTCCCACATAAAGCTGACACGCCGCGATATAACTGGAATACTGTTAAAAGCGGCGTTAAACCCAACTCACTCACTCACCTTTCTCGTGATCAGTAAAGCGTATCAATAGCTGCTCTCAATGCTGCTTATTGATACACCTATTGCTTATCCCCCTGGGTCTTTTTGGTCGGACCGCCTCCGTGGTCTTGTGGCAGAACGTCCGCCCGGAGAGCAGAAGGCCCGGGGGTCGATCCCCAGTCGCGTTATACCAAAAGACGTTAAAAGATGGTCGATCATCCGACGGAACAGATTCCATTTGGCGTAAATAATAATAACAATACGATACCAGTACCAAGTGGTCCGACTCCCCATTGTTCTCGGTGCCTTAGGTTTGGTACCTCCCAATCTGTTGACTGACATTCAGAGAGTACCCGAGTTTGCTACCAGGAACACAACCCTTCTGACAATCTGGGTAATGCAGAAGGCTGCAGTGTTGGAGAGTCTTAACGTTCACAATAACAACAACAATAACGTACATTGCAAAGTTGCAAAAATTATTGCCGAGTTGGCCGAGTCTAATACGAACTATACGAGCCTCCATGTTAAATCATGTGACAAATAGCCACCTCGTACCAAAGTCGTACCAAACTCGTACAGCTCGTATCGAGATCGTTGTGCTCGTATGCGACTCTTAAAAACCTCCTATTAGATTCCTATTGGACTCCTATTGGATCCTATTGGACTCCTATGGGGCTCGTAACACACTCGTACCGTACTCGTATGATACTCGTATATATGTAGTCTCTTCCCGAGTCCTAACCGAGTTAGGCTCGGGAGAGCTCGGCAGCTACCTCGGCAAAGTGTGAGAGCTGCTGACCCGGAATATGGTATGGGTGGGGTATGGGGACGCTACGATTTCATCCTGATCATTTGAAATAATTCGGCAGAGTTAACCGAAAATAAGTGCTCGTTGACATGCTGCACTTCATGTTGGACGTCCTCTGAAAACCAATGTGTTGTGGTTGAAAAAAAATGAGGCTGCTCATTTTAGGGATTAAAATGTAAAAATGGTTGATGCAATTCCCGAATAAAAAATATTGTGTATTTAACAGAATTCCAACTTTCCCCCCCAAAAAATTAATTGGCCGTTTCCAAATACGATTTTATGCTTATTGATGTGTCAATGAATAATAGATATGCATGTTTTGGCATAGTCCGCTCTCATCCGGGAGCTTCTGTAGTCATGCGTTCCTTGCATCACCTGTTCCAATACAGATGTTACGTTCAGCGCCAAGGATTAGTCAACACCGCAGTCTCAACTCAATGCAGTTTATTCTGCAACCATAACATCGACAGACGAACCGGAATTGTCGGTTCAACCAAAAGTTGGAATAAACAAAAGCGAACGCGGACGCGTGTAGTGGCGCAGCCTGACTGTCCCTCGGGTTGTTCAAACAAACGCTGTACAATGTATCATGAGCGAACATGACCGGTGCGTTCTGATATCAACACGACATCTTGCAGCTATTCATTGTCAACTTTCACTAACACTGCTGAGTCACGTAGACATGATCTGTTTCCCTATTCAATTATGTTTGATAGAAGGATAAGATATTGCAGCATTATGTTAACACACGCTTAAAGTGAGTTTTTGTGAATTTGTGCCCGAACCTGCCAAGAAATGAATACTAATAGTGTTATTCGGGCCTTTGGATCTTTCAAAGCAGTTAGGTGTGAGTGTGGGTTTGTTTTCAACGCCGCACACAGCAATATTCCAGTTATATGATTGCTGTCTGTAAATAATCGGATCTTGACAATCCAGTGATCGATATCATGAGCAACGATCCACCCCATCACCAACCGTTTCTTGCAACCAGGATACGTTGCTGGCGAAGTACTCTAACACAAATGTGGGTGATGAGGATGTTGCGTTGCTCAGTTTGTAAATAATAAACTGGCCAAGGCAAACCGGTGGTTGATGGCATGAGCACCGATACACGCAGTCGAGGTACGATGATACACACTCAGCCAGGTCACGCATTTTTATCGGTATGTGTTCACGACTACTGGGAGGCTATTCTACCCAGTAATCCTTTAATAGTGAGTGAGTGAGTACGGTTTTACCAATATTCCAGCAATATCACGGCGGGGGACACCAGAAATGGGCTTCACACATTGTACGCATGTCGGGAATCGAGCCTGGGTCTTCGGCGTGACGAGCGAACGCTTTAACCACTAGGCTACCCGACCGCCCCTAATCCTTTAATAATTTACGACTGAGGAATACATCCCACTGAACGTGATGGTATCTTGATATATAAATGTACTACTTCAAACGAAACCGCTAAACACAGTAGCATATTAATAAGGTTACGGAATGAGAGTGAGCGTTGTTTTACGCCGCAATCAGAAATATCCCAGTAAATCACGGTCCTGTAAATAAAAAAGTCTTCGCCAGACAAATCTGTCGATGATGTGCATTAGAAATAAACAATGTATTTAGCGAGCATTGGCAGTGGTTTCTCCAAATTCCCGATTTATTCTGACTCGATCGCCGAATGACAAGTGATACGCCATATTAGTTTGTAAATACTGAAAGTAGTCCCTACTTGACCTTTGATATTTGCATCTCTATCCGCATATGACCCCATCGGATATCGTTTTTTATCCTTTGGCTTTATGCGTTATGGCGAGAAACGTACCCATTATATATATTTATTATAATAATTATATTTACAGTTTTTATTCATTTCACAGTTTTCACACACATATTAATATCAATTCGACCATATACTGTCCTCTGGATTGAAAAGCCGTCGGTTCTCCTAAGCAATAATCTCAAATTGAAAACGATAAGTTTTTTAAACATACCAAAGGGGAGTAACCGTTGTTAGGCAAACAAGCCTTGTGATACTCAGCGTCAAAAAGCACAATCTTATGTACACTGATCTGTTGAGTAGCAAGATGTTGGCTGATAAAACACGTTATACCAGATGAAGCCGAGTGTGACGTAGTACATCTATATAGCGCTGACAACACGTGGTTACCTGAGAGTGACAGACGACACCCACCGTCACACTGCAGACTTGGATCTGGATTGAAACATACAGCCGTACGCTTTAGGGAGTTGTTTACGGGGTATCTATGTGTGATTTGTATTCATACATACTTGTGCCAGGTACGACATGAAAGCGGTGTCTTCCTCTGGGGTTTCTTGTTTTTCAAAACTATAAGTGGAGCCGGTTCCAAGCGGATATTGTCCCACTATTCGCTATTCACAGGTGGGTCTTTGTTTGTTTGTTTGTTTGTTTGTTGTTAAACGCCAGGTGTGTAAATGCTTTGTACATAATATGGGGCATCAGACAATATCAGTGTTTGACATCGTAGGTATCGATCTACGCTGAGTGTCAGCGAGCCTGATCACCAAAATGTAAAATGAATGTGTAGGTAGAATATGCTCCGGCGACAACTGGGCCCACATGCACAAAGCTATCTTTGTGCTATAACTATTTAAAGTTTACGTTAAAGTATAGACATTACAATAGTCTTTGCACTGAAATCACTTCGTGCATTTCGCCCCTGGTCATATGGACAGAGATTGCGGTTGTTGTTACGGGTCTTGCCTGGCGCTCGGTATTACGGGGATAAAAGAGGGACTGTTGAGTTCGGAGTCAGTATAATATACACACACACACACGCACGCACGCACGCGCGCGCGCGCACGCACACGCACGTGCTAGGTACATATACATGCACGTCGCTATATAAGTGCAATAATCTTAACCGCAATGTTAAACCCCATTTCACCTCACTTAACCTTTGTCATTATGATTTACTCGTGACCTCTCGTGTCATTCCGGGAAAAGCTCTTTGTTTTGATTGATGCGTCACACGTGGTCATTGTATCAACCGAGTTCTGTCTTAGTCCAAGCTGGAATACCGGACAGGTTAGTCAACTCCTTCCACTTGCGCCATTGTCGTGAACTTTAGCATGGAATCCATCATAGTACAGTGTGTTTATAACAAACATTATGGACAAAAATATTGTGACATAGTTAAAAAAGAACTGTGATAAAAAAATATTAATGAGGATTATTTAATCTCCAGTCAATCTGCATTCTCAATCGTTTGTCGTATCGAATTGTTTCTTAAGAAAAGGGACGAGTAGTGACGTAACATTATGATACAACTTTTTAAAAAAACAGCCGTATTTAGATTGAAGGATCCGACAGGAGTCATACAGTGCATCATTGATGTAGCGTAAGGGGGTAAGTAAATAAAGTAAAATATAAATCGATGGCATTTTTTTTATCTTATTTACTACCACATATTTGAAATATGTCGTTAGCTAAAAGTTATCTAGTGAAATCTTACCAATGTATCATATTTGGGTCAAAACATGACGGCCTCGGGGCTTTGAATGTGACAGTGTTAGGACTGACTCGTCAATTACTTACTTCCGCCTCCTGGATATTAGGAGTTTTACCATAAGGGTATTGTAGCATAACGACGCACTGATTGCGTAGATGGTTGAACGGGGCTCGAGTGTTCCGTTATACCCATTCAGTTCTGTATTGTATGATTAACTTGTTCAAGTCACGATATGGCTGAAATAGTGCCGATGTGACTTTAAATATTAACTCACTCACTCACTGTATTGTATGACAGGCCCATATTCAACGGAGGTATGTGACACATTTTATATGATACAATGTCGCGGTAATAATTCATGTCGTAACACAAACGTATGGTGTCTGTACAGAGTTGGATTTAACGCCGCTTTTAACAGTATTCCCGTTATATCACGACGTGTCAGCTAAATGTGGGAGGAAAGCCCGAAGTAATGCAGGTCTCAGACGTTGACGACTTCGGTGAAACCAAAGAGCATGACAATTCTAGAAACACAATCGGGGCGAACCGGGATTCGAACCCACAATCAAAGGTTTCTGGCGTGTCCAAGGGACGCAGCTCTGCATAGCGAATCGCGGTACCCCCGTCACAAAATGACACCCTAGGGATTTCCCAATAGATGAACATCTTCCTGTGTTATTTGAAAATCAGCTAGGCCAAGTCTAAAACGAATAATGATGTTACGAAAATTTCTGTACAGAGCATTTGATAAATATGATTCTGGTTCAAGCCAGGACTTGTACTGACGCTAAAGTATTCATATTTTAAACTTTCGTAAATATCTAATGGCTATTGCTGTTGAAATATATAAAAAATCGAACGCATGCGAAAATGCTTAATGAAACCATAATATAGCCTATTGTTTTGGACAGACAAATGAAATCAAAGCCATATGTAAAGCAATGGAGGTATACAAGAAGCCCATGTATTCTTACCAAGATTAGCGACCGCCGCCTCCTTGGTCTAGTGGAAGAGCCTTCGCCAGGAGAGCGGAAGGTCCGGGGTCGATCCCCAGCCGCGTTGTACCAAAAGACGTTAAAACGAGGTCGATCATGCGATGAAACAGATTCCATTTGGCGTAAATACTACTACTACTACTACTAATAATAATAATAAGATACCAGTACCAAGTTGTCCGACTCCCCATTTTACTCGGTGCATTAGGTTTGGTACCGCCCAGTCTGTTGATTGACACTGGGAGAGAACCCGGTTTGCTACCAGGTATACAGCCCTTCTGACAATGTGGGTAATGCAGAAGGCTGCAGTGTTGGGGAGTCTTCACGCTCTCAATAACAACAAAAATAACGTACATTACAAACAGAAAAAAACGTCCCCTTTGTGTTCATGCCTACAGTATCTTGAACCCACATTTCAATTATATTGACGTATATTGTTGGGTTCTTTCACACTTAACGGAGCGTGGTGCACGTGCTACAAGGAGCTCATTCCATGCGCATCACACAAAGGCGACTGAGACGCCGTGCGATTTTAAAATATGAGAATCATTTTGAATTTTTTTCCACAAATGACTGTTGAGAATAATATGTACCATACCCGTGAAGATCCGGGGTAGAATAGGTCTTCAGCAACCCATGCTTGCCGTAAAAGGCGACTATGCTTGTAAGAGGCGACTAACGGGATCGGGTGGTCAGGCTCGCTGACTTGGTTGATGCACGTCATCGTATCACAACTGCGTGGATCGATGCTAATGGTGTCAGTCACTGGATTGTCTGGTCCAGACACCGTCATATAGCTGGAATATTGCTGGGTGCGACGCGAAACAAACAAACAAACAAACAACTGTGGACCAAAATATCACGAGCAGCCTCCTACCAAATTTTGAATCAGAAATCATTTTGGATGTCGAATCGTATGTAAAGAAATGGTCCAAAAAGGAATATGAATCTGTCGAATGTCTTTCAGGATGGGTCAAGTCAGTGCCCGAGGTCATTGGTAAAATGCATGAACTGAAAAAGTGGAAACAGGATTGGAATGTTTAAAAAGTTAGTAGTTATCTTACAGCCAAGGCCTCATAACATAACCATTTCTTTTGTAAGCATCACTACAGTGATTGTTTGATCAAAGAACTTGGTATATGTGACATATCAAATAGTACTACATATGAGGCCAGTATATTAACCGAGCAAGAAATCTGCCAAAACTTGGCATCAGAACTATCATTTTTGGGTTGACCCTAAACAATCGTCAGGTGTCTACATTTCATAACCTTTGAGGTTCAAACGAGCTTGCTCTTTTTTCGAAGATTTCAATGCGTGTCATACGAGGTCTGAGTAAAGATTTCAAAAAAGGTTTATGGCAGATGGAGAACACATCCAAATTTGACGTATCAGTGACCAACATCAAGTTGTATCATATGTTCGCGTTTTGCGGAGAACAATTGACTTGCTTTTGCATGTATTTGTGACAGGTGTATGTGGGTCAGGATACAAATATTTTCGCGAACACCTGGTGTCATCACTATTTGATAGCGTTTGTTTGTTGTTTAACGCCGCACTCAGCAATATTCCAGCTATGTAACGGCGGTCTGTAGATAATCGAGTCTGGACCAGACAATCCAGTGATTGATTTTATGAGCGTCGATCCACGCAATTTAATTGAGATACGATTACATGCATTCATCAAGTCAGCAAGCCTGACCACCCGATCCCGTCAGACGCCTTTAACGACAAGCATAGTCGCCTTTTACGGAAAAGAAAAAGAAAAAATGGATTAAAATGGTACATAAGGTACTACTACCTATGTTACCGTGGATCATTTCCACCACAGAATCCCCATGGGGGCATTGCTTTTGTGGAATGTCTGTGTATATATTAAATATCATAAGTACCGATTACAAGGCACGTTGTCCAACAAGCTATATGCCCCTGCTCACAATGTTAATCCATTGTCCATTTCAGAAGGAAGAAACCATGTTATCACCCATGACGCGGTTGTCCTTAGCAACCTTCTTTGCGTTTTCCTTCTGTCAAGACGAAACAACGCCTTCTCCACACAGACAGTTCGTCCCACCTCAATTTGATCAAATATGTGCACCAGTGACCTTTTCCGAGCAGATCCCACCAATGAAAATTAAGTGTACCTTGACTAGAAATGACGAACAAACATGGAGGTTAGCTACCCTCAGGGAATGGATGATGGAAACAAAAAACAATCAATCTGGTAAACAGTATTCATATGAAATACAGTGCGATCGGTCAGATTCTAGTCTGTCTTTACCATGGCCAATGAAATGCCCCGGTCTGGTGGAGCTGGTTGTCAGGAACTGCAATATAACTGGTATGTATTCTGAATACGACCGCCCAGACATCTTTACGATGCCTTCCCAGTTGATCAGGGTGGAAGTAACAGACTCAACTATGGTTATTAAGCATTCACGTTTCCTGGAAGTCGTCCACAGAATTACAAACGTTTCGTCCGATTTTGACTGTCTTCAGCAGGAAACTGTCGAAGAACTCGTATTTAGAAACATTTCCTATATGTTAGATGATGACATGGAACACTGTTTGCAGATGTTTCGTCCACCAAAGGATAACGCAAGTATCGTCCCGGTTGATCCATCTTGCAATATCCTGCTGCTACCACCTGAGCTACGTAATCTTGAGGTGGAATGCAATTTCCAGAAACTCCGCATCATTGATGAAAGTATTAGCAACACTTTGTCCGTTTACTACCACCGATTCTTGACAAAGTACAGCAAGTTTCCTGTTCTCGAGTTCCTTAACTATTCCTCCAACCATATCAATGTTGTTCCAGAAGAGTTGAGAGATTGGTCATTTTACTTCTTATCTTTGAAGCACATGGACCTTTCTCACAACAAAATTGAAAAAATAACCTTTGAAACGAAGTTCAATTTTAGCCATAAAAACGACACCTACATAAATTTGCAGTACAATAACATTACATCTCTCACTCCAATGGACCTCGATCATCTTCGAAATCAACAGAAAACATTCATCGATATCCGAAACAATCCCATTAACTGTGGCTGCAACCTTGAAGACTTTATTAAGGCCTTATCGAACAAATTACTCTTTACAGGAGACATGAAAAAGTATGAATATATCAAAGATATGAATTGTGCTCAACCAGATCACTTAGCTGGGAGGTCCTTGGGAAGTTTGACAGTTGAAATATTAAACTGTGTATTGGAACATAATACTTCAGTTATACCGTTTGTAGTTCTTGCTGTGGTGGTTGTGATTGTCCTTGGCGTCGTTGTCATAGCATTCATCTATCGTAAAGAAATCCGGATTCTATTCTATACGCGTTTTAATATTCTGCTGTGTGGAGATGTGTACAAAGGTCTTGGATCAAAACAGTTCCACGCATTTGTCTCCTACAGCACTGAGGATGAAGAGTGGGTTATTGATGTCCTAGCAAACCGTCTTGAGAATACCGAAAGCACAAGGGAGGTATTGTCCAGCTCGGAGCCAGGAACAACAAGGGGGAACAGGAGGTCAACGAGATTTAACCTGTGTATTCATGGAAGAGATTTTGTTCCTGGAATACCGATCATAGAAAACATTATCAACAGTGTCCAGAATAGCAGACACACCATCATTATTTTGACACCCAATTTTGTGCAAAGCCGATGGGCCATGGAAGAGTTCTTGCAAGCGTACAACCAGAGCATCAATGAAAGAAGACGCCATCTGATAATAGTCATTCTGGAAGAGGTGTCAGAAGACAAGATGGATCCGCTTTTGAGGAGGTGCCTGAAGACCTTCACATACATCAAAGTTTCGGATAAACTTTTTTATGACCGTCTCACTTACTCATTATCGGCTGACAAGAAACTATCTAATGATGAATTATCAAACGAGAACAGTGTGCAATGTATAAGAGACTCTGTGACTTTAGACATGCCTAACTGTTATGACAGTGGTGTGTTTGAGGGCGATGTGTCCATGAAGGGTGAGACTAACTTTTCAGACAATGGCATCCGTTTGTGAATGAATGAGTACGTTTCGCCTGGAAAGGCTCCATATCAGAACGCTTATGGTACACAGTTATAAAACTTAAAACACTTCAGTGGACATTTCACAGGTCATCACAAATTCTTCTTTAATTATACCTGATTCATCACTTTTAAACTCCTCTAGTTTGCATGTCCATTCTAATTATAATAATATTGTTTTTTGGCCTCTACTGGTTTCTTTCAACAATTTTTAGTTAACTCAGATTTTCTGGAGAGAAACATAGATCTACAAACTATCTGAGGCAGTGTAATTATTACTAGCCACGCCCCGTCCGAGAAACATGGAGTATGTGGAATCCCCAAATGGTGCACTCTAGGTGTTCCTAGGTGGTTGTGTGTATACCTACAATCGAGGTAAAGGCACCCACTGCAGGTGCGTCTTCAGAACCTTCAGATGACATTGTACATTGGCGAATACGTCCGTAACACTTCGGAACATTACCATCCGCCTATTGACTCACTTTACCCACGAGAACAAGATGGGAACGATGAAGGTCGGTATAAGTCTTCAAATGGCATTTGAAAGTGATGCACATGAGAGGGAGAATTTGTGGAGGTCATCTTCTATATTATGAGGAACACAACGTTTCGGAGTATATACTTACTCCTTGGTCTGTTGAATCATTTGACAGTTGACATTCATAAATTGTCTTTCTAACACCGATATAGTATATGAATAACATTGAGATCAACCAACGATATCTTGAAAAAGTACTACCAATGACGCGGATGTACAGAGAGTGAGTGAGTCGGTTGGGTTTAACACCGCTTTTAACAGTATTCCAGTTATATAACGGCGTGTCAGCTTAATGTGGGAGGAAAGCCCGAAGTGATGCAGGTCTTAGACGTTTACCACTTCGGGGAATCCCACGAGCACGGGTATGGTGCTGACAAACTAGAAACATAAATCGGGGTGAACCGGGATTCGAACCCACGATCATAGGTTCCTGGCGTGTCCAAGGCACGCAACTCTGCACAGCGAATTGTGGCGCCTTAGACAACTGGGCCACCCGTGCCCTCGATGTACAGACTGACAAGACAAGGCTGAAAGCCCAATTCGGTACAGAGCAGAAGAATGCCATACAATATCCAGATACAGTTGGACATTTGCTAAAGTTAAAATGAAAAGTGACATTTGAAATCCTAATATTGAACAGTGATCTGAATTGCATCGGATTTAACCTTTCTATTCATATGATATATGAACGTGCTGTCAGAAATGTTCTGATATATTTTGTTGTATACATATTTATAATAAGATATATACATGTATGTTATATGCCTGGTGTTCAATGTGATGGTAAATATCTAAACAAAATATATATAAACTGCCGAGTAAAAGAAAGTTAACGCTCGAAAATTGGACTTTAGAAAAACATTTACAAAACGTTACTAGGCTGAAAGCATTCACCGCGGCACTGCAAACTTAAGGCACAAAACTCAGCTGTGACACCCGTATCAAATACATCTATAATTTATATAAGGTGTCTTTCCATATTCTAATATAATTGTTGATGAGTCAATTCCTATCCTATATAGTTACAGGCAGGGGACTCAGCCATATCGTTATTTATGTGTCGGGTGATATCAAAGTGAGTGTGAGTTTCGTCTAACGCCGCTTTAAACAGTGTTCCAGTTATATCACAGCGTGTCAGATGTGGGAGAAAAAAAACAAGGTTAGACTTTTACCACTTTGGTGAAACCCACGAGTACGGGTATGGCGCTGACAAACCTAGAAACATAATCGAGGCGAAGCGAGATTCGAACCCCCAATCATATGTTCCTGGCGTGTCCATGGGAGGCAATTCTGCACAGCGAATCGCGGCGCCTTTAGACGACTGGGCCACTCGTGCCCCCAACACATCAAAATGAAGACTATTTTGTCTTAGTTTGGAAACGCTCACAATTTCGCGAACACCTGGTGTCACATGCTCATTATATACTCGGAATCGTTCAATGGACTCTTTTATCAGACTTTTTTATGAATATGGAAAGGTTTTGTAGCTTTTATGTACGAAAGCAATACATTCGATTTTTATGAGTTTATCCTTTTGTCGAACTATTTTGCTTTCTTATAAACTACACAGTACAAAGCACTTATGCACAGTGAATGCTGCGCTATACAAATGCATATATTATTATTATTATTATTATTTTTAAACTAAACATGAAGCTCTGCTGTGTACTAAACCATGTCTGTATGACGCGCACTATAACAATAGGCGCAATTTGATTGTTATATTGTACATATTTTGTACTCATGTATAAAGGCCGATGGCCAGGAATACAACACGTGCTTGTGCTTGTGCTTGACTAGAGTGAGTGAGTTGGGTTTAACGCCGCTTTGAACAGTATTCCAGTTATATCACGGCGTGTCAGGTTAAGGTTGGAGGAAAGCCCGACGTGATGCAGGTCCTAGACGTTTACCACTTCGATGAAACCCACGAGCACGGGTTTGGTGCTGACAGACCTACAAACATAATCGTGGCGAACCGGGATTCAAGCCCCCAATCAGGAGTGTCCAAGGGGCGCAATTCTGCACACGGCACCTAAGCCGAGTAGACCAAACGTGCCCTACCCTTACGTGACAAGAAATAACACACTTACCCTTTTCGCGACAACTGGTGTCATCACTGATTTTCAAGGATCCATCCACGTAATTTTCAACAAACAAAACAATTACTTTTATATTACACACCAAAATATCTCTCTCTGTCTGTATGTCTCTCCTTTCTCTCTCTCTCACTCTCTCTCTCCATTTCCCTCTCTCCCCTTCCCTCCCTCTATCTCTCTGTGTGTCTGTCTCTCTGTGTCTCTCTCTGACTCTCTCTCTCTCTCTCCCTTTCTCACACACACATACATATTGTGGTGTGTAATGTAATATATTACGACCGCTTCACATAGGCTCCAGTCTGTTGGCGATGAGATGTGCAACGTCAGTCAATGGCATCGGTTATTAACCCATTTTCAGCTATTCGTTTTGAGCATTTTCACTCACCCGTTTGCTCATTGGCTGGACTTGTTCATAGAGACAGCGAGCCTCCTTCAGCCACAGTCCAGACAAACCCAGGGGGGGCACCCAATAACCCGACGTGCAACCATCCACCCTAAGCCAACCGCATCCCCCGAATATCAAATTAGAGATATTGTTATAACGTCTATAATGCATGCTGTCCATATTACTGCAGTAGCTATAGCTGTAGTTGCTTCGCTTGTTTGTTTGTTCGTCTAACTAAAAAAGCTGCATCCGCGCTTGAACACCAAAACTTTATATTTTGTGTCAGATTTACAAGCGCTGGGCCCGCAATGCCGCGAGAGACCGAAATGAGTTACCTCCCTTGTATCACACTCGTCCTTAAAGATGGTGGCAAGCCAATATCGTACGTCACAGCTAATGATTTCAAACCGCAGATAGCAGGTGGAAGCAGAATATTTGTGTGAATACTGCCCACGGAAACAATATCCCCGTCAAGACAGCTCTAATTTCTATAGGTCTATGATAATACGGTCACTGAAAAAATCGTGTTTCTCGGCGACCGACCGAAACATTCGGCCAAAATCGAGCTACTTTTTCGGTCATTTGCGCAAGCTAATTTCCTCAGTTTAGATTGGAGTCGATGGGCAATCGAAATTGCGTAAAATATTTTTTTCGTCCCGAGTAGCAGCTTTGGTCCGTAAGTGCAATGCCACTGCTCTTGGAATTTACCTAAATGGTAAGCGTGTTTCACAAGCATCAAGTTGGGTTTCCTCTTGCTCGGGTACGCTCATTTAACCGAGGGCACCCATGCGTGGAAAAAACTCATTAACTCTTTCTGACTATGAATATTTGAATATAAAGAACAAATAAAACTTTAAATGATTTATATATTCGAGTATTTTAACGACACCTTTTCACAAATATCTAAATTGCAGTTTTAACAATGACCTTTTCATGATATGGTTTAATTGCATAACTGATATTGTCAAATAATACACACGACAAGAAAAGGCACTTTCATCACAAAGTGAGTGTTTTCTCGAGGTAGGATGTCTGATTAACCCGCATTAGCAGGACAGATGTGTCCCCCGATGGTGCCAGGATCTCGTCTGAGAAGTAATCACGATACTTATCTCGAGTGAGTGAGTGAGTTTGGTTTTACGCCGCTTTTAGCAATATTCCAGCAATATCACGGCGGGGGACACCAGAAATGGGCTGCACACATTGTACTTATGTCGGGAATCGAACCTGGGTCTTCGGCGTGACGAGCGAACGCTTTAACCACTATATAGGCTACCCGACCGCCCCTACTTATCTCGAAGTGGATAATAAAACCACAATAATAATAAAACCGACTGCATCGTCTATCATCTGGGAGTAGGTATAATTGATGTTCCTGATCCAGAGCAATTGTTTGCTCTTCCTGGGGTTCATTCCTGCTTGAGTTAGTGAGGGAGTCTCGCAGAACGCAGCTTTGAACTCTTAAAACACAGTGTGTCAGCGAACGATTTGTTTATTTGGTGTTTAACGCCGCACTCAGCAATGTTCCAGCTATATTACGACGGTCTGTGTAACATAATCCAGTGATTGACATCATGAGCACAGATCGACGCAACTGGGATACAATGACATGCATCAACTAAGTCAGCGAGTCTGACCACCCGATCCCGCGAGTCGCCTCTTACAAGCATTGTCGCCTCTTACGGCACGCATGGGTTGCTGAAGACCTATTCTAACCCGGGTCTTTGGCGAAAGGGGACTAGTGTGCGGGTATTACGCAGAGAAGTGATTGACGTTTTACATGGCTACCACGTTTTGGTGAAAACCACTAAATGGGGATGGAGATGACAGATCAACAATCAAGATAAAGGCCATTCTGGGATTCGAACTCACTATCAGATAGATGAGTCTTACACATCTGAGGGACTTAACTCTTGCGGTGCTAAAGCCCCCATTACACAGGGGTGCGACCTTTGTACCACGTTTGAGCGATCAAAAACTGGCCAGGACGCTCAATGGTCGCCTGAACCTATAAAATCACGTTTCTTTGAAACTGCTCCGGCAGTTGTTCAGCAGTAACTGCTCGAGTTGTTCAGCGTCTGCAACCACAATGAAACACTGCAGGTACAAACCCTCTATTTATAGGCAGACTGTGGAGGCATTACGGGTAGCTTAAAGGAGGCAGAAAAGAGGCAGAAGCATTGCCATGGTGTCTCAAGGGTTGCCGTGGTTGCCGAATGGAGGCACAGCGGTCGCCATAGTCATCATCAGTGCACGCTGTTGGTCGCCCAAAGGAGGCCTAAGGGAGGCAGAAGCATCACCCAGATTGACGGGAAAAATTTGCAACAGAACGCATCTTTAACCTGGCAACCATTCGACGACCACTGTGCCTTCATTCTGCAACAACTGCAATGCTTGTGCCTCCCTTCTGCCTCCTTTTAGCCACCTTTGAGCAACCAACCTCCTCGGCGACCTTTGTGCGACTGTTTTGAACATGTTCAAAAATTCACGGCGACCATGGCGTCCATGGCGATGTCTGAACCTCCTGTGTACCACCTTGGAACGACCTAGGCAACCATTCTGCCTCCTTTGAGCCTCCAACGACGACCTGGCAAATTTTAAAGTCGCACACGGGAGGCACAAAGGTCGCCATCCTGTGTAAAGGCTCCATAAGAACCCCAAGTAAAATTCACAATTACGTTGTTTTTTCTGTAAAATGAAAAATAGATCAGTGTTCCGAAACTGGGAATATCAGGAATAAACAGTTTATTTAGCGAGCCAGGGCGAGATACCATCTTTATCATTAATGTCATTCATAAATGTTATCGTCAAAACAAATCTTTAACACACAAGGTACAATGCAAATGCCAAG